TAGAGACATATAGAGCTCTATAAGCGTTAATTTGATTCCATTTAGCGGGGTCGAAAATGAGCCGTGCGGGCTTTGGTATCTGTTATGCCTCGCTACTCAGGCGCGGGACGGCCGATTTACGAATTTTAAAGCTAAAAAAACAACGTCTTGAGGTCTAGTCTACTTTCTGCACCGCAATTATCCGGTACCCCATCCTCTCAAGAGGACACAGTGAAAAACGTGCGTGACTGGGGAAACAGACAGAACTTGAGTAGAATGCTTGCATAGTGTTAGGGTTTGCGCGGAAGTGCGCCCCTTCATTAGGACTATACGTGGTCCAAAGGGTTCTCCACCGGACGTTCCTATAACTAACAGCAAAATTATAAAAGGGAAAAAGTGGCATTTCCGCCGATGAGCTATAGGCAGCACAATGCATGCGTGCGTACATGTTGCTGAGCTGGCAGTCGAAAAAGACAATTTCTTTACTTTTTACAATCTTGCTGGTACTTATACGAACGACCGGTGGAAACCTTTTGGCCAAAATAGAGGTCTAGGAAGAAAGTGTTTCAAACATTACTTAATAGCTGCAGCATCTTCCTAACAATTTTATTCTTGTATTTATTAATTACTCGGTGATATTTCCTATATCATATATGCATATTTAACTTATTTTATGATACACTGAACGTATATTATTAATGTTAAATCTTTATAAATTTTAACGACAGAGGTTGGTGTTACGACAGTAGGGCAAACATTTCCTTAGCCCTTTTGTAATCCACTACCTTTAATAAATAAATCAATCAACAAAACTCAAAACTCCAGTTTTTAAGCTGCCTCGGCAAATTTGTCGTCTATCCGAGTATTCCCTAATTTATTAATTCTGACGCTAATTATTTTTATTCGTGCCCCTTCGATGCAATACCAAATCAGATTTACGTCTAAACACTGCCGTCCGTCAAGCAGCTATCTTCTTTAAGTGTTTGCACTACACGATCAATAATTTAGACGGCATAGCCACTAAAACGTATTAGTGGTCATAACAAAATGATTTAAAAAAATGTAGGTTGTTCAATACAATCCCGCGTATCTTTCCTAAACAAACCCTTGATGTAACATTCGAAGAAAAGATTTGACCTTGGTGTCCAAATAATCTTAAAACTCGGAAACCCTCCTATAATGTTTTTTTTTTTTTTTGGGGCCAAAATACTGACTGACTTACCTGGTAGCATAACTGGCCCGTCCATATCCATTGTCACTGCTTCAAGTGCGCCGTCCAGGATAACAGTATCGGTTGAAAACATTCCGATACATGCTTTTACAAGGGTGCTTAGGAGACCTAGGGCATTCCCCCGGAAAGCAGCCTCCCGGATCTTTCGATGTTGATCATCAATCAGCCGCTTGCTTAAGTTGACTCTTTGCTGTTCCTCTATCAATTCAGCAGGCAACTCTCTAAAAACAGTTTGCATGAAAAAAATAGTTTAGCTAAGGCAAATATTTTTCAAATGAAACCACTTGCTGTGCACAAATCAAATCATTTTGTTCCGAAACAAAACGTGTCAGCGATATTCTGCCCAGCCTTTTCGATGTTCGTCGATTCTTCGGTACACGAAAAAAAAAATGTTTGGCTGTGGCAACCAAAAGTCGATCGCTACGATTATTGGCTGAGCGATTGGCGAAACCCATTACTCCACTGACCGAAAAAGTTTTATTCTGTTTGTTCGTATGTCTCTCTGCACGAGAACTCGAGAAGGAGTTAAGTTGGCGACCTGGGATTTTCAAAATGGTTTGTACCATAAAAAGACAGTGCGAGTTCAAAGGCGAGCATTCTAGCTCAGAATTTATCTTTTTAAAAAATCAAAAAC